GCTATTCATACAGAAAGTGTGATTAGAAAAAAGGAAAATGCACATGTGGGGTTGAGAACATCTGCTGTAACAAGTCATGTAGAGACAGCTAAGCAGTGGCTTTAAAGCAGCTTGGTAGTGTTCAGCAGGAAGGATGAGGAGGAATGGGGATGGAGACCAATGGGATGACAGTATTTAGGTCATGCCCCAGCCTCCGTCCTATTTCTTTTATTTTCTCACTGCTCAGACCCAGAGTCTTGTCAGCAAGGGAACACTGTGATTAATGGCATCAGCCAAAAATATGACATGGAGATAGATCACTCATAGCATGGTGCAGCTGGTGCCTGGGAAACAAGCTTACTAGACGTAACAAAAGTGGTGCACCAAACATAATGTGAAAGAGAACAGTTTCTTGGGATATTCTCACTTTTATTTCTAAGTCATATATTTTGGGACCTTCAATCTACTTTATATGACATGCAGTGATAGCTGCTCAATTTTGTAGTTTTTCCATCCACAGTGAACTGTCAAGACAGTGGGAGAAATAATGACTAATGTACCCAGTTGCAGAGAGATCATGATTACTTTGGATATTGTTATTTATTACTTGTTTTAGGCTTTTATTTATCTTTATTAATGATGGAATAGTGTCCATTTTCCAGCAACTTTCACATGTAGAGTTTGAGGCTCCCCCATCAGCTTTTTCAGCATTCTCATGGTTGAGGAATCCTGACAATGGGGCCACCATATATTTGTATGGCAATGTGTATTTTTCCAAGGCTCACTTATTTGTGTTACTTTATTTAATCCCCACAAACTTCCAGTGGGCAGATACACAGGTGGCATAATCCTAATTTAAAAATTTGGATCACTCGGAATAATGAGATTTACTTTTTTGCTTGAGATCATGCAGCTGGTTCCTAACGTGAAATGACTAGATCATACCTTTCTCCTTCAAGCTCTTCCAGAAACAGTACTGAGGCATTGGGGCTCATGGGGATTCTGATTGGTACACTCCACTCAGAGTCTGTTGATGAACCGATAACCCTCTAATCTGGGTCTCCAGCCGTGATTTTACAAGCTCCAAACTCACTGCCCCTGTTTACCTGGCTTATCTACACACAGAGGTCTGACCAGCAGATGAGCTCAATTGAATTCATCAGTTTTCTGGCCCCTCCCAGATCTTGTGGTCTTGAGTTCCTTATTCTAGTGAATGTCACAACCAAACTCTCAGTTGCCTTATTTCTGCAGCACCTGCCACTGTACAGGGCTGCGCCCTATCTTCACCAACAATCCTCTAACCAGTGTCCCTGTCACTACTCTGAACTCCCCTCCTCCGCACACATTCTCCATCACATTCACAGGTGATGGGCTTTCGGAAATGCAAATCCAATATGTCTCTTCCCCGAGACTTTCAATGGATTCTCTTTGTATTTAAGATAAAATCTAAAATTCTTAACATAGTTTACAAGGCCTTGCAGAATCTGGCCCTATGTTTCCACCTTCCCTCACCGCTCCCTCTTTCTCAGTGTATATGGAATATTTTCCGGCTTCCCAGAGTATGCCCTGTTCTTTTTGCCTCCAGACCTCTGTACCAGCTGCTTTCTTTTGGCCTCTGGGACGCCTGCTCTGCCACAGCGCCCTCTGCTGTGCTCTGGGTCTCCATCCACTTCCCTCCCTAGACTGTTGTCTGGAGCGCCGAGGCAGGCCATCTCGTTAGCCGTTGTATCTTGTGTTGTCCCTATGTTAAGTACAGTGTATGAATCAGCTGGGTGAACACGACATTTTTGTTGAACGCATAAACACGTTTCTAGGTTTCCAGTGTTCTTTTCACTGAGATAGTTCCCCAACAATGTACTCAATATTCTTTGGTTGATTTTAGTATTAAATGTTTAGTTCTTCCTTCTCTAAGATGTCTATACTCTGTAATTGTCCGTAAAATTTCACTTTTTCCCCTGGATCATGCTTTACTGATTAAATCTGGTGACTTTTTAGATGAACTTAACAGATATCCATAACAAATAACAAACATTTATCAAGTAATTGCTATGTGCCAGATACTGTATTAAGTATTTTTCATGAATTTTCTACTTCCTTAAAATGATTCTGTAAGTTAAGTACTATTGTTGTCCCCATTTTATAGATGAGGAAACAGACAAAGATGAAATAATCTACCCAGTATCACAGCAAATAAGTAGAAGAGTTGGGTTTTGAACTCAGTACAAGTCATACAATTAAAGTCCATTCAGCGTATGAAAAACTGAGCTATAATTTCTGTTTATAGAAATGCCTGTGTTCTTGTGAGTTTCATATAGGTAGTAACGATGAATTTATGGATTGAGCATAGGCTTTGAAGCTAGTGTTGTAGTTGTAAAAAAAGGAAACCCAATCTTGTCTGTGAGGAAGATTAGATGACATAATGAATGTAAAATAGCGAACATAGGGACTGGTACATTGTTGACTCCTGGAAAATGATAACTGCTCATTTAGAAGTTCTCACTCTTCCACTAGCTCAGCTCACTGAACTTGAGAACTTAAGTAGTTCCAGTGGGGTGGGAGTTTGCTGAAGAGAAAGTTGGATTTTTCAGTCTAAATAAATTCTTATAAGAAAACTGGAATGGCTAAGAAAAAGTGGACTTTGGATTTAGCTTGGACTATATACACTTGTATGAAGTTCATTCTAGCTTACTTTATGATTATGTTCCATACATATCTGTAAGCCAACATAGAGACCTAGAAGAGTGGCTGTTTTCAACACTTCAAAAGTGCTGATTACATACTGGCCCATGATAAAGGTACATAGGACCATCTTAAGATGTTAAGTTTATTAGCTCTTGGCTCTATGTTATTTCATGTCTTTGAATTTTAAAAATAGCAAATTAGTTACTACATAGGGAATGAATTTTGATAGATAAATATTAGAAAATGTGAAATCTGCAGTGGAGAAATAATTTATTGAAAAGACCCTGATGGGGAAAAATTTTTGAAGCACTATCTTATACCCCAAATAAGGTAAAATATTTTGTTATTATTACATCTTTTCCTGCTGTATATTGTAAGAACTTTGATTTTTAAGGATTTGCCCTCTGCTGCAAATATGTAACTTATCAAAGAAGGGGAGAAATAATGTTTTGGAGTTTAATTGTTAATGCTGATTTCTATGAGGAGTCCTTTAGGAGGTTTCACCAAAGTTACTAAAACCATGCTGTCATGATATTTTTTAGTTATAAAGTTCATGAGCAATAAACAGGCAAAAAACAAAAAACCTTTAAAAAAGTAGTATGTGGAATATGGTGTATAAAATGGAAGTAATTTAAGTTGAAGTATTGTCCAGTGTCTCCAGAGAGGCCCTATTTACTATAGGAATTTAGTATGTATTGATAAACCTATTTAGTAGCTATTATAACTGAAGGCATTATTTCACTTTATCTCATTTGGTCCTCACAACAATCCTAATAGATAACGTTCTCCTATCCTCATTTTTCCTGTGAGGAAACTGAAGTTCAGGAAGGTTAAGTTACTTATCCGGAGTCACATAACTAGTAAGTGGTGGAATTGGAAAACGAATACAGGCCTTTCGATTTCCAAAGCCCCGTTTCCTGTCATAGGATATGTAGGACATGATAAAGGAGAAATCACAAGCCTACATGAAGGAATCTTTGAGCTATTCAGGGTGGGATTATTGGTTAACACTTTAAAGAAAATTTACTTTGGATTATTAACTACATTTTATGTAACAAAATTAATTTCAGATGGGTTAGAGGGTTAAATTTAAAAAACAAAACAAAGTTGTAGAAAAATTAGAGGGTGGATCTGAATACATACCAAATTTCTGAGGCAGAATTTCCAGAAGCAGAATTTCTCTAAAATTTATAGTAGTAGATGAAATCACGAAATAAAAGTATGTACAACTATAGCATAGAAAAATTAGAGGGTAGATCTGAATACTTACCAAATTTCTGAAGCAGAATTTCCTGAGGCAGAATTTCTCTAAATTTTATAGCAGCAGATGAAATCACAAAATAAAAGTATGTACAACTATAGCATATAAAAATTTAAAAATGTTTGCATGTCAAAAGTATAGGTAAATTGGCAGAAATTAAGAAACTAGAATACTTAGTGGTGGCAAGGAAGCTGTCGTATATTGCTTGTGGTATGATAAACTAGTAAAGGCCCTCTGTGGGTTTAGCAAAAATATATAAGTCATAAAAATATCATTTCTGTGGTAATTCTGCTTCTGGGAATCTTTTGTAGTGGATAATCTAAGCTGTCAAAAATGCTGTCGCCATGAAAATATTTTTGCAGTGTTTTTCATAAAACCAAAAATTAGGAAAAGAATAAAAAATGTCTAATGAGAGGATATGGCTAGTCAAACCCCTCACTAGGTTAAATGCTTTTTGTTCTATGTTTTTCTGTTGCTGTTGTTGTCTGAGACAGTCTCACTTTGTCACCCAGGCTGGAGTGCAGTGGTGCAGTCTTGGCTCACTGCAACCTCCACCTCCCAAGTTAAAGCGATTCTTGTGCCTTGTCCTCCCGAGTAGCTGCTCAGCCTCTTGAATAGCTGGCATTTCTTTCATGTTCTATCACTCCCAGCTAATTTTTGTGTTTTTTATTTTAGTAAAGACAGGGTTTCACCATGTTGGACAGGCTAGTCTCGAACTCCTGACCTAAGGAGATCTGCCTACCTTGGCCTCCCAAAGTGCTGGGATTACAGGTGTGAGCCACCTTTCCTGGCCTAGGTGAAATGTTATACAACCATTATAAACAATGATCATAAAGTCTGCTTTCTAAGGTAAAACAGTGGGGATGATATTTTTCATCTTATTTATGTTTCTACTGAGGTTACAGTTGTAGAAAATAAGGTATGTTTCATAAAAGACTGAAACGAAATATCGTACGTTAAAACCTTAATCATCATTATATTAAGAGTTTTCTTTGCTTTATTTTCCAAGTTTTTGATAATATTGTTATTTTATTATTTACAAACTCCAAATATAAAGGACTTCTTATTTGACCCACAGGATGGGTTTCCAGATTTCCAAGATTCTGTGCAAACGCTCTTCCAGCAGGCTAGACCTAAGAGTGAAGAACTCGCAGCTCTTAATTCACAGGTAACATAAACTACCAGTTACTATTTCATAATAGTAGTATCTGTAGGTTAAAAAATAAATAACTACTTCAACTAGCGTCTGCTTTAAGTGTCTGAAGACTGACTTTTTATTTCTGGTTGTTTTTTAAAACGTCAGCTGAGCCACAGCTGTATCAACATGAGAGCAATAACATCTTGGTTTGATTCAGTTTGTGAAATGAATCTGATATGGTGCTACTTGCTTATTCTTGTAGTTTTGCAGGAAGTGAGACAGATTCTCTACTCAAGAAAACTTAAACAGTTTGATGATTGGGAAAACCAGCTATGTTGACCATGGCTATGTGTAATACAACTCTGAGATAAAATAGTACTAGTTCTCAATAAAATATTAATAGTCAACATTGTAATTATTGTTAACTCTTTTAAATTCATATTTATTGAAAAACTGTTAAATGAATATGTGGCTTCAGGTGCTTTTGCCATTAAATTATTTGTGTCTGTATACTGAAATTAATTTTAAAATTCTTTCTACAAACATCATCTTTTAGAAAGCACTGTAAGCTTTTATTCCTGTTGAACAGCTTCTTTGTAATAACTTGCTTTTGGTCAAATTTAGTACTGCTAAGTTTTGTTTTTTCATGTTAGGATGAAAAATACATTTTTTTTTTACCTCAGGTATGCTTATTTAAATTTTATCAACTAATTAGTAACAAGTTCAAATAAAATGCAGTGGTTACTCTTGATTTGGTTTATGTGCATTCAGGAAAATAGTATAAGTGTTTATCATGTTCTGTGAATTAGTATATTTTATCTATTGATTTTTATGTTGTGAATCAGAGCTTTTTGTAAAAAAATTTATATAGCAGCTTTCTTGTCCTACTCTTTTATATAGCATGGTAGTGATTCATATCTGTGCATTTTGACTATTACCTCCTTGGCAAAATACCACAAATACACTGCTCTGAATATCACATGTAAGTAATCTAGAGCAGTGCATTGAAAAGGAACTTATAAAACACAGGCAAAGATAAATTTATATGTCAGTTGATTAATTGCATATTTAGAATATGCCTTTTTGTGATTGGTTGGGAAATTCTGCAGTTTCATTTCCTGATGAAGGTGAAGATGCTTATTGGCACTGGTTTTTTTGCATAATTTACATTGTTTAATTTTAGTGGGAGGTGTGTTTGCCTTGTTCTTCTAGACAGCTGTTTTACACCTTCTCTCCCCCAAACATATTGTCATCATATCAGAGTCTATGTATTGCCAGATCCTAAAATAAAAATGCCAAGATTTCGCCCTAAGTGTTAGAAGTAGTTTATAGCAGATGTTGCTGTTGCTTTTAGGTTTCTTTTTTAAAAAATCCCTTAAAGGACTTAGTACCTTGGAAAACAAAGCTAAGGTTATGTTGCTTTTGAGCTGACATGGAATCCTCTTGGAAGAATTGAGAAGAAAGCTTTTATCTTTTGTACAACATCCAGCATTTTATATTTTAACATGATACAGACATCTATGCATGTTTATGGAATTTGTATACCACATGAAGTGTGAACTAATTTTAATGAATACTAAATATATTTGCTGGAGTCTGAAATTGGTATCTTGAAACCATTAAAAAATCTAGAATGTTTCAGTTACTGGTTTTATTTTTGCTTTACTTACTAGCAGCCTGAGAAGGTGATGGCAAAGCAGATGGAGTTCCTTTGCAACCAAGCTGGCTACGAAAGACTGCAGCATGTCGAGAGGAGGTTGTCTACAGGGCTTTACAGGCAGAGCTCAGAAGAGCACAGCCCTAACGGCTTGACTTCTGATAACTCAGATGGACAAGGTACATATTTTAGAATATTCTGCACCTTTAGGGCCACTACATGCACTTCAAAGAGAAACAGAAGAAAACAGCTGATTTTTAAATTATGGTATTTTGTAGAGATTATTTTATAGGTCCTCTTATCAAAATTAAATTCTCCATGTTCTAAATAGGAAATTTATTTTGCAAATTTTAATTTGTAAATTTTTGAAACTTTATGATTTCTAAACATTAGTTGGCACATGAGATGGACATGTATTCTTTTGTAAGGAGTTGGTGGGAATGTGAGAATGACCACAGCACAGACTGTTTTCTCCAAAGAAGCAGATTCCAGGAGAGATGTTTATCCTTTTTAAATGACCCAAACTTCATATTTTTTTGACTTTGAGAACAAGTTTGTGAAATTTTCAACATTGGGTTTTTAAGAGAATATGGTAACTGCTTCCAAAGTGTTATGACAGAGTACAGCTCAGGTTTAGAAAGCCATGGGATTTGTGAGTATTTTTACCATTCTAACAAGTACTTCATTCTTTTCACATCCTCACATAAAGAAAACCCCAAGTCATTGTTATTTCACTCATTCAACAGGCATTTTTTTTTTTTTTTTAGTATTTTCTATGTGCCAGGCACTGACGATGGGACAGGGAACAAGTCCCTGTTTACTTGGAGCTTACACTCTAGTGGAGGGAGATGTACAGGTTATAAGTATATCCTGTAGTTTCAAATAGTAATAAATGTGTGAAGAAAAAAAATAATTTTGTAGTGCCTACTTTTTATATGTTATTGTTATACTTTTCTAGAGAGTGGTTATTATTGTCAAAGAAAAAATTGCATTTGTAAGTAAGAATACCATCTTAAGTATTCTCCAGCCATGGAGTAAAATATTACGTGTCTCAACAGATCAGAGTACTGGAAGAGAAGAAAGTTCTTCCTTTTAAAAATATTATAGGAACCTTTGAGTTGAGGTCTTGTTTAACTTCTCCAATTATTCTTAACCGTTAAGAAGCAAAGGCAATTATTAAAGATTTTATGACTCTAATTTGTGACACCAGGATAATTCAGTGTGGGGAGACAATTTGCTAATATGATGCATTTCGGTACATGACAACATGATTGGGTATCTAATTTTTCCCCATATTTGTGCTAAATCTGTTTTCTCATGGATTTTTTTTTAAATAATCTGTAATTGGCTTGAAGCCTTCTCTGTCTAGTACTTGTTATTATGTGATTAATGACATGCCGTGGCAGAATGGTGGCACTAGTAAGAAAATGCCTCATGGAGGAAGTGTATTATACGCCAAAACTGGAATGCTCACTGGAATTCTCAGTCTTTTGTTTAGCTCTTAAAACTCTCCTGGCAGAATTGTAAACCTTGGGATTAGCATGAAATGACTTGCCATTTTCCTCTTAAATTATTATTTAAAATGTTTTTTCCAACTGTTACTTAAATTCTTCAGTGTCCACTGACTTTCCTCACTTTTTTCCTAAGGAGTGTTTAGGCAATTTTTGAAAACTTATTTTTAAGAAAATCCGTGATGTATTTTTGATATTATGCATATTTCTTTTTTTGTTTTTTTGTTTTTCATTAGGAGAAAGACCTTTGAATCTCCGCATGTCTAATTTACAGAACAGACAACCCCATCATTTTGTGGTGGACGGGGAGCTAAGCAGACTTTACCCCAGTGAGGCAAAGTCCCACTCATCAGGTGAGAATGAGCTATATGATGAGAGGGGTAACACTTGAATAAAAGCATCTTCAAATTCTGTTCTCCTGTTCCCAATGTCCCTCCCCCACCAAAAAAATGTTATTACTGACAGTGTTCCTACAGATTGAGTATCCCTATTTGGAAAATTTGAAATGGTCCCAGGCATTTTGGATAAGCGATGCTCACTTGTCAGTTTTTCTCCCCTTGGAAGTAATAATTGCCATAACACTGGCTGCTCTTGCTAGTCTTTTTGCAAACTTAGTATTCTGAACAATGAAGAGAAAACTCATGAAAGTTGAGATTACTTTCACTAGCCATTATATGAATGGTGACGTTTATACGAAAGTTTTATAATAAATAGCTGGTTTAAGTTGTGTTACTAATATGAAATTGATGGACTACATGTTTGCTTTGACACAGAGAAAACCTTGTGTATCAAAATCTAAACTTTTCATGCAGATGCATTTTGGAGGTGATACTCATATTTCAGAAGTAAACCGAATTCCATAAAAGGATGAGCAGTTCCTTATCATAGTTAGATATTCACATATTTTTACCCAAGTGAAGTAAGTTAGACCTACTTAAAGCATTAGAGACCAGCACCATTTGAAAGAATCTGGTATCATTCAGTCTTTGAGTTAAAGTAACTTTAGGAGTCATTGATGAAGGTCACTGATTTTATAGATGAGGTAACTGAAGCCAAATAAATAGCTCCAAATTTGCATTGTAAGTCAGTGAGAAATGTACTTTTACAAGCATTAGGATTAAACCTGACTTTACATCTGTTATCTAGATAAAATGAATTATATATTTACTAGAAAAAAATGTTATCAAGAGCCTTTATGTCTTTCAGTTTCAGATCATGCTGTTAGTAGCAGATGCTAAAAAGGCAAGTCCTAAATGTTCTGGTGCTGTGACTTTAGCATGCGATTGCATACTTGATTGTAGCCAGCTTAATATTGTCAAAGGGAGGTTGAGAAATTGAAACTATCCTAAAAAGATGACATCCTGGCCTGTTTTCCACAACACAAAAAGTGACCTATTATTTAAAGTTTTTTAAAAAAACGAACAAAATCCCACTTTTGACTAATTTGTATTTCTTTGAAGACTCTATACAACAGGAATACTCCAGTCACATTGATCATGTGTCTCATCATGGGGCACATTTACATTTTACATAGAGATATAATTGAGCTAGGGTTTTATGTAGAACCGAGTGAAGAAATGCCTGAAAAAGCCTTTTTTTAAATTTTTAAATGAATAGAAATAATACAAGTTTCATATAGGGCAAGCCTGGGTCTAGATCTCAGCACCAATGCTTGACTGAGTGACCCTGACTGACTTACTTAAGTACCCTGTCCTTCAGTTGCTTCATCTGTAAAAGAGAAATAATTTCTACCTTGTAGGATGGTTAGGAGGATTAAACAAGATAGTAAACCTGTGTCGTACACTGTCTATTTCAGCCAGCAGGAATTCAGTAAATAGTAGCTACTATTTTTATTACTCTTATGCAGAATTTAAAATCCCCTTCTGTTTAGATAGAGAGGATTGATAAATTGAGCTATTTAATTTCAGATAAGCTATTAGTATCGATTACTTTCTAGAATCCTCTGAAGGTGTAAGTATATGTGTATGGACATTTGCCATGTATATGTGTGTGTACATATCTCCCAGTGTTTGTACTTTGTATAAAGGTTACATTTGATTATTATTCTGTAGTGTTTGTGTATGGTTGAAATAACTATACACATAGAACTCCATGGAATGACTTCTTATGAAAATAGAGTTCATTATTTTATCCCTAGTCTGCCACCTTAATATGTCATTGTCAGGAGAACTTTAAAAAATAAATCCAAGGTTATGAAGATATTTTTCAGTCTGATTACTTCATTGGTGATAAATATTTTAACCAATAACAGTTATATATGAATAATCAGTTTTCTTTTATATATTTATCATGTTGGATCAAGCATTAAATAAAAATTAATATGTTCTATATGTTAAATGTTTTATGTGTATTTCATTATTTAACTTTCATGCCACTTTATGTAGATACTATTCCCATTTTATAGATGAGGACACTAAGGCTTAGGGAGGTGTATAAGTTGCCCAAACATGTTTACAGCTAGTAATTGGCAGAGTTGAAATTTAAATCCAGAATCCAAGTTCTTAACAGCTCTATGAACAAAAATTTTATATGGAATTGCAGAATCATGAATAGTTGATACTGTTTGGTATGGAGTGTGAAGGTTTGTTTTATAGCTTTGTTTCATTTTTGTAGTCCATTGATTTAAAATATCAACTCACTTTGTTTCCATTTTATGTAGAGAGCCTTGGGATTTTAAAAGACTACCCTCACTCAGCTTTTACCTTAGAAAAGAAAGTCATCAAAACAGAGCCTGAAGATTCAAGATAGCTGTGATTCTCTCACTGTTCTCTGGAAATGGCATCAGATTTAAGGATAATACTCCATCATAGAAATAAGCCTTAATAACCAGTGTTGCCTCATTCAGCTCAAACAGATTTCATAGCCAAAGCAAAAGGACTGGTACGGTAGTCTGCGGAAGCCAGGAAGATAAAACAACAGCCACAAAAGAGAAAAGAGTGTTACAATCTATAACAGTAATATTGATTCATTCACATTCCTGTGTTAAATCATTTTATATGGAAAGGCTTGCAAATCAATATTGTAAGCATTCATTATTTAAGAATGTACAATGTATTTGTGTAATTTATAGAAGTAAACTCTGGATGTTGAGACCTGTTTGGTCCAATAGATGTGGATACAGTTTATTTTACTTGAAATTTTGTTGTCTGCTTTGTGTGTTTAACGTAAATAAATGTCAACGTTTAGAATCTTTGCCTGCAATCGTGAAAAAGAAAGCTTAAGTGATGTAGTTATTGGCAAGATTGTAATGATTGTAGAAAAATAGAAAGCAAATACTCAATTTAAGCCAAGGAAAAGATTGTGGATTTAATATTTGATAAAACTGATTTTGTTTGACAGGAAATGTGTAGCATTCACTCATAAAATATCTGGTTATCAATGCACGTTTACACAATTAGTACTTGAGTGGAGGAAAGTTAAAAAGATGAGCAATAGAGTAGAAAATATCTCTTAAACTAGTTGACCTAGATTGTATTAATAGCTACTTAAGATGTATCAAAGATAGGAAGCTATTACTTGGACAGAGAACTTGAAATTTCAGAATGTGTTAAATAGATTAAGACATAGTAAGTTAACCCTACATGTTATAAAGATGGTGACTGTTAACAAAAGCTATAATAGATTAAGTACTGTTTTATATACAGAAAGTTTTCTCTGTGTAGAGAGTTCAGACTAGATGCTTTCACTAGGGAATGTCTGCCCACCCAGCCGTCAAAAGTGTGGACAGTCACTGCATCCACATTTGTAGGCATACTTCTATAAAAGTTTAGTTGACACCTATATTCATTATTTATTTTACGATTTCATTTTTCTACATTTTTGAAATTTGTGAATGCAGTTTTTTCTTAAAATTCATTTTAAATTGACAGTACGTTTTTAATTCTCCCAATTTAATTCATAGACTGTGTGCATATATAGGGGAGTGTGCTTACATGTTAATAATGTACTTGCATACTTAAGAGAATTTCACATTGGAATTCATAATGGTAAAAAAACCAAATACACCTGACAATATATTTCTTTTCTGTTGGTTTAAGAGAAAGTATCTGACAGCTTTACCTACTTCCTATAGATTCATCAAACCCAGATATTGCTGAGAAGAGTGTATTGACTTAGAGTATGTGTTTTTTTGTTTTTAGTTCTGCTCTAGATCATAACTGTAAAAAATATTAAGTCATAATCTGTTACACTAAAATTCGTCAGCCAAATGTTAAATGAAGTGTCTGCACTGTAGTCTCAGATCACTGTCACATATATAAATTGCTTCTTCATTTTAATTTGTAGAAGAACTTTATAGTAAGAAACACCAGTAAACAACTTTTATACTGTTAAAAGGCTTTTTTCCCTTCCTAAATGTTTTAATTGTACCATAGTGTTTTGCTCACTGAAGAAGCTTCTTAGGGACCTTGCAACTTTGTTGCTAGCTTGAGGTTGATTATTGTGGTTGTATTGTTCACTGTGTGTAGAAATAGTATGAGTACAACTTAAATAGACTGGTCAGTTTTTAATATTAGCCATAGCACTGGTTAGTATCTCAGTAGTTTCATGAAACGTTTCCTGTATTCTAATCTATTTTGAAACATTTTGTTTGTTTTTTTTTAATTGTGTCTTACAGTCAAGTTTGTAGATTTTAATAAGCCACAATTTTAAAAGATGCAGTAATCTTCCAACTTCCAATATTTATCCATCCATTGTGGACCCACAAATTGCATCTTTAAATTCATAAGTTTCCTTAAGTATCATCTGTTTCCGGTCTTTCAAGTTTAGTGATAATGTGGAAGCACAAGAAAAATTTCAGTAGAATACAATTTTTATTTTGTAAACACTAATGTATTAAACTTGCTATACATTAAAGCAAATAATATATTTTTTATTTGAATTGTATATATGAATTGGATGTTATAACTAGTTGATTTTTTTTTTCATTTTGTTAGAGGTATTTTCACTGAACAAGGTCAATTGGTTACCTCAGTATTACAGCCAATATAGTCCAAGGGACCATTTATCCCTGAGTCTCTTAACTTTATTGTGCGATGTCCACGTTTTTGTGACTCTTCAAGCTGTTGGTGAGGTGGGACGAGTGCACTTGCTTCTTGTGGCAATAAAGCTTTTCTGTGCCTCACACATTTACGTTTATAGCATTTTCTACATAGCAGTTTTCCACAGTGAGTAATATTAAGCCTCCCCTATCTGGTTATTTAAGCTAGGTTTCATCATTAGGGGACAAGAACTTACGTCTTAAGTTGGGACTAAATATTGTCAGCCACCGTCATTTCTAAAAAGTCATTTGGTGAACAGGTTCTCAGTAGACTCTGGTCTGGGAGATAGAGGTCACTTTATATTCTCACTTATGAGACATTTTTAAAACTCCACCATTTCGAGCTGTATTAAAAGGAGAAATGTTAGGATTTAACATCTATAATACATTACATATTTGTAAAATATTAATGTGATTTGGCTTCAGTATTATGGACTAATTATATGAAATTGAGCTAACCTGTAGTAAAGAACCAGGATGAGCCTATCAACAGGTATTAATTGAGTTCTATAGATTAATGAAGATCATCAGTGTGCCAAGCACTGTGCTAGGTGCCAGGGAAGAGGTAAAGGCCACAGACAAAATATATGATCCTTGCCCAAAATCTAGTTGAATGGGAACTAATACCACTCACATAAAAATAAAAATTTCAATGCCTTACATATTGGGATGAGGAGCTGACATTTAAGTGCATTCTGACATAGCCATTATGGCAACAGGCACTTTACATGTAAGAGAGCACATTGAGATATCAAAAGAGAATTGGCCAGGACTGAAATCAACTTGCAGCATGAAATTTGATAAGCCATAGTGGTAGTACATTTCACTTTGAGGCTTATTATTTTTTTTTTAACTGCAATTTTATTGTGAAACTGAATGGCAGATCTGTGCCTGGGTAATAATTCTTTTGACAATCCATTGAATCTGTCAAAAGGCAGCAGGGAAAGGTGCTTTTCATCTGCCCTTAATTAGTGAAACCACTTGGGTAAAAGCTTTAGGATTTGGTAATTATGAGGCTACTAGCACCTAGTGTACCTTTACAACTATAGTTGACACTATTTAAGACTTAAAGGCTAAATAAGTATGCAGGGAATTTCCTAACATACGGTCTACTCACTTGGCTACTCAAATGGTTATTATTGACACAATGCCCATTTTGCTTGTGACTTCACTTAATATACCACGTTGAGTCTTCAAAAGAAAACCAAGGTATTAACCAACCTCATGAAGCCAGAAGATCTGCCTCTTTTAGGAAATGAATTCAATTAGTAAGTAGCTGAAGTTAGAATTGAACAAACATTGTATGTTTGCAACAGCTTGAATGACCAAATATAGTAGTTGCTCTTTTACTAAAAGCCACCGTATGGTCCAGCTGTGTATGGGTGGTGTTTCAGGGAATGTAAGCTTATATCTGTGGGTGTCCTCATAAATGAAGTTGGTAAGTAGGCCTACCAAGTTAATTAAAAAAAAAAAAAGATCCAATGTCCTGACATTTATTTTTATTGTAAATACAATTTAATATCAGAAACCTTACTGTTAACTATGTCCATAGTGATCCTGTAAGATTTTTATTTCACGTAGAAGTGATTGAAAGCAAAATGCTTTTTCTTACCTTATGAGCATGCAACAGTTAAACCTTTAAAACATCTTTGGCATCTGTTTCTACTGACTTAGGACTTTTTTTTTTATCACCTCAAAGGTGTTTATTTTTTGTGCAGAAAAGCCTAATCAGAAAATTTTTTTAAGTTCATAATCAGCTTATTAAAGTTAGAATGCAAAAATGTATTGTGCTGAAGGTTAAGCTCGACTTACAAATCTTTACTTTCCAAGTTTAGCAAATCTTAATCACTGTTAAGGGAACTGTGAACTGATCCTGTTTACAAACTTGGTTAATTAAGCCTTATTCTTTTATAGTCTTCCCATCTGTTAGGTCACACAATTTCTTAAGTGTTAAAATGATGTCCTGTGGAATTCTAGGTCTCCCAGCTGTGTTTGACTATTTGGTCACAATTTCCAAATTGTTATTCTGACTGCTAAGTGATTTACTTTCAAAGTATTGCTCCAATAATGTTAAAGGTCTAGCCTCTACCACTTCATCTCAAAGGAATTTTTAATGAGGTTTTTTTTTGTTTTTTGTTTTGCATTGGGGATAAAACCCTCAAGCAACATCAGAATCACATAAAATAGTAATCTTAGTTTTTATTTCAACATCCATATGAAATGCTTAGTTACCATTATTTCTCCATTTTATTCTTATAAAAATATTTGACAAAAAGCTTAAAGTATACAGTGCGATGGTTTTTTATACAAGTACATCATATACTGATTACCACAATCAGGTTAAAACACTTCAGTGGGAAATTGTCTCTCCTAATTTTTGTTGACTTAACATTTAGTGCACTTTAGTCAGTTATTATTAAATGTCTATATATCTGTCAGTAAAATGTTTAAAAATATTTCCTCTACACAGAGCATTATTCTACACTTATGTAAATTAGAAAACTACCTAAACAGTTTTAAGTTTCAGAAATTTCTATTGAAATTTTTGCTTTATTATACAGTCCTATTTAAGTTTTCCATTCTGATTAAAAGAATCGGCTCACTTCTTAACAATCTCTGAGAAGTAGTAATAGTTGAATGTTGCCATCCAAGCATAATGTTGCAAAATGTAGATTAAGCACATCACATTGGCTCAAGGTGGTAGTGCTACACATGTTAAAATCATGAACCCAACAATTTTTCTCATTTATTAAGAGTGACACATTTCTTGTGAATTTCCTGTGAGTCCAAACAATTTGGCAATCAGCCTAGCCTGGTTTTGCTGTGGGTGAGCACCAGTGATGGTATAAATTAGAATGTGCTTCATATGTACACATTCTGAAACCATATGAGTCATCTTTGCATTAAAAGTTTGCACCTCATAAATTTATGTTTAAAGTGCCATGTTCAACACCCACACATAATCCTAAGCTAGCACGGCCATTCTCTTGTAACTGTCACAGACACCCTATATTGGCAGTCACTTAGGCTGCAGTATGTAGGAAGATAAGTGGTGCACACGTAGGTGGAATCTTACTGGTAACTGTCTCAGCAGAGACATTTTATAATTTTCTGAGACTACCTACCATCTTCAACTGTGAACTGTTAAACTAAACATCTGTGGTCTAGCATGCACCATACCCTGCTATTATCCTTTTCAGAAGACAAAAAGTGATTTTTTTGATAGCATGTTCTTACACTGTAGGCTCTCCAGAGTCTCATCATTTTAGTTATGTTTCCCCCAACTATATGTACTTTCCATCCCCAGATCCCTGACAACATAATGTAAGCATGTTTTTCATCAGCAGTTAAAATGGACTACGTCATTCATTTTCTTTCTGAATTCAACCAATGTTTACAGCATCAGAAAATACTCATACATTGACTGTGTGATTTTCTTTTGCAATTGGCTAGCTCTCAAATTGGACTACATCTTTCTGATTTTTATTGTTGAGAAGGCAACAGAAATATTTGTATAGTGAGATATGGACATGACAGATAAAGCCACAGCCACAGATATATTCCAATTCTTAGGATAATAAAAGCCATTTCCACTTAAAAAATTAACATTAAAGGGGAAATTAATTAGAGGTTATGTAATTTATTCAAAGAGAAGAACAATTTTAATATATTTTAATATTTAAAAGTGAGAAGAGAGGATTCCATTCCTCAAGACTTTATGCAGGTATGTGACAGCTGGCTTATAAGTAAAGTCACTTTTTCTATGATTCCTTATTTAAAGGACAGGATCTAGTTCTGCCTATCAAAGCATAAGATTTAAAACTTTGGGCCCCTCACTTGTCCATGAGCACCCTAACCTGTCAAATATCCTCTGAACTGAGTGGTCTGCACTATGTGTAAGCATTTTACACAGTAAACACTTTTATAAATATAGATAAGGCTTGAATACACACATGTAGAAAGAACTAGGCCACATGTGAGTACTGATCAGCTGGTGGTTATTGTCTAGACTGCAGCAGAGGCTTCCCAAAGGAAATAAACATCAAGTCATTCTGAAGGCAGTTACTGAAGTGGAGAAGTGAAAGGGCATTGCTCGGCTTTGAGATTAGCATGTCTGAAAGCCCAAGTTGGGAAGCAGAAAAGACACATCCAGATAACCACTGGCAAACGCAATGGACTAAAGCAGAAAATTCAAATAAAAGTTTAATTAGAGATAAAACATCTAGAAAAGAGTGCCTACTAAATGAAATCCTTTGAAACTCATACAAAGTTCTCATTCAATTTGGGAAGCAATTAGAAGTTGTTTGTTTTTGTTTTTTGATACAGGGTCTTGTTCTCTTGCCCAAACTCGAGTGCAGTGGTGCAATCTTGGTTCACTGTAACCTCTGCCTCCTGGGCCTAAGCAGCCCTCTCACCTCAGCCTCCTGAAATAGCTGGGACTACAGATGTGCACTACCATACTCAGCTAATTTTTTTTACTGTTTATTTATTGTTCCAAGATACCCCCAAAGGGCTTAATTCTGGCTGTGTTATGTGGAGCCAGTGACCAGGAAGCTGCTGCAGTTTTTCACCCTTCAGGTGGTCAAACTTGAGCAGTGGCAATAAGGACCAAGGAGAACAAGAGTGAAGGATATGAAGTTATTCAATCATTCATTCATTAAGCAAGCATTTGTTAAGCCACCTGCTTAAAAGTGCCCAGGCATAGTGTTAGGAACTGCCCTTGAGGGACACTCACGTCTAATAAAGGAAGAGAGAAATTGTTGATGATGAAGTGACAGAGCTTGATAACAAATTAATTGTCCAGCTCATGAGAAAAGATCATATTAACCAATTGGAGAAAAAGAATTAGTGGTTGTGACCATAGAAAAAAAAAAAAAAAAAAAGAATTGTAGCATCACTTTCCAAAAAAGAATTTAGCAAAGAGTCTGGGCGCAGTGGCTCATGCCTGTAATCCCAGCACTTTGGGAGGCCAACGTGGGCAGATCATGAGGTCAAGAGTTCAAGACCATCCTGGCCAACATGGTGAAACCCTGTCTCTACTAAAAATACAAAAATTACCTGGGCATGGTGGCGCATGCCTGTAATCCT